ATTCCGAAATGAAATGAGAGACCTGCTTGGCTTCCGAACTTCTAAATATGCTATGTTTTATCCAAGAAACTAAGGCCTAACTTTTAAATTAAAAGCGTGTCCTTTTAGATACCTATAGGTGAAAGCGTTGACCTAGTTCTGTTGTCAGAGCAAATAGAAGATGATTGCACAATAATACATTTCAAAATGCATTTGCATGAGTTGCAGCTACATGCGGAAGTGGTGGAAATAAATGCAAAACCTGATACAGTAATTTTCCTAAGCTCTTAATCTTAGTGTGCATGTAAAATTTGTACATAGGAATTTTTTTAGTGTTCCTCAGACTGTGGCTGTCAGGTGTCATAGCTTCATAACTAGCACAATGTATTTATTCTATTTTTGCTGTTGGTTTCTTTTTGATACTTGTTTTTCAAGTTGTGGGAGAAGATAGGCTTTTTAAAACAAAAATCCGGCCTATGTTTATTTTTAATATAAAAGTCAGATAAAGAATAATAGAAAATTTCCAGCACAGTTGGAAATCATGTTTGACTGTAGGTTACAGTGCATGAGAAGACTGTATGGCTCTGAAAAAGGCAGTTCTAGTGCCAAGTTTTTTATGTTAACATTGACTGTATACTAACATTTATAGAATACAGAAAATCAGATCATCAGGACTCTTCCCTTTTGTGGGAACATTGAAATTTTGAACGCAAAATAGATCAACCATTTCTTGAATGTTTATGGTTATAAGTAAGACAATCAATTCCTGCTTGGATTTTTCAGCAGTGCCTCAAAAGTTTGTTGTACTATAAGTGTTAAGATTGGGAACAAAACTTAAAACTAACCTGTGAACTTTTTTATGTCTAATATCTTGGGGTTTTGGAATCTGGATGATAAATTATTTGAATTATTAAAACCTGTGATTTAACAGCAATGTGGAGCACATGAGTGCTATTGTTTGCAGTGCTGAACAATTCCTGTGAAACACTGTACACTTCTGTGAGAACATACCTTGTATCTGCTCATTGGACTGATGTAGTTTAGAAGGGCCTGCTGTAGACAGGTTTTGCATATCCTACTTTTAAACTTGTCTCTTTTTTCCTTTTTTTTTAACCACAATTGTTGCCAAGCTAAACATTTTATTGTTTCAGAAATACTATTTTTTGTGAAAACGTGATTTGACTTGCTTACAATGGACAGTAAGGGCTTTGTGGATTTTCTGTGCTAGGGGGTCCTATATGGCTTTATATGCTTATATACAATTCAAGCTGACAGACTGTAATTGAAAAATGTGAGATTCCTGTATTTTTAATTACAAAATAAGTATATTTATGACAGCTAAAGGACTGATTGACAATTTTACTGTTATGATGGTGCTCTTCTAAAATGGTCTTATGTCCAGAAGGCGCAGGTAGCCATAGTGGTCTTTGACTACAGTTGATTTTGGGATGTTGATAGAGTGGAGGCTTACATGAATGTTTACTTTTTTGAAGGAATTCTTATAAAACTCTTTCTTGTAAAGGTAATATATTTTCTGTACTATGAAATTATGTATATCTGAACTAGGGTTTAATACTCTGCTTACAGAAGTCTTATAGTATAGAGGTATTCTGATAAGTCTGTTTTCATGTGGAGGCTTTCCATGTGAATATGAAGCTAACCTCTTGTGTTGAAAGTGAAGAGGATCACAGAATTTTGTATTTGGATTCAGATCTCGTATTTGAATAATACACCAACATAAAAACTGTGCTGTGTATGTTATGTATATCCAAGAAAGGAAGCAGACAAATAAAAGCTCTTTGAAAAATATGGTTGTATTAGTCATATTTGAAACACATTATATCAGGTACCATATTGAAACTAATTTCTTTGTCATTGTAAGATAATAAGTTTAAGGAAGGTAGCTGGGATTAATGTGTTGTTACCTTTTTTTTTCCTTGTGGAACCATCCTGTTATATTCATTTAAATGGCTTCATGCAGTGCCATAAAGTCATACCTGAGCTGGTTCTGAACAAGCTAGATGGAATTCTAGATGCAGCATTAGCTGCTTGGCGCTTGGCTCACGCCGATTAGTTCCTCTGGGAAGCTGGGTATGTTCATATATGACGCAGTGTGCTCATGTAGCTATTTCCAATTGCTTTCGGTATGTTAAGCAGAGTCACTCAGAGCTAGCTCGGTCATTGTCACATAGCACTGCGTTCTGCTACAGCATAGACTTGTCCTTAGGAAGAATTGCCGTATTTCAAGGCACTTCTTGGGGGGTGGGGGAGGGGGTTGGATTGGAACTAGGGCTTCCAGAGTTTTTATTTGTCCCTGAAATACGTACCTGTAAAGTGATATATACCAGAGAGAAAGAAGTTTGCTCTCTGTAGTACCTTAGTTGTATGACACTTTACATCTCTGCCTTGTTTGAAAGCTGTTGCAGTCTTTCTGTCTACGTGGCTACTAATCAATACAGAGCGCTTGATACTATTTAGTCAAACCTGCCTTATCATTTAGATTTTGCTAGTTCACGTGTATTAAACACGTTATTGCTTTCTCATTTGGCTGGCTGTTGCAGAAGTAGCCTGCAGATGTTGGGGCTCCGAAATCTCCCATATGCACACTCACAGAACAGTTCTGGACATGCACAGAGACAAAACTTCAGGTTGTCTGTGATACTTCTTTAAACCGGGATGTCAAAAAAAAAAAAAAAAAAAAAATTGGAGAAGCTGAAGTTTACTTGGCTATAGGATTCAGAATTTCTTCGTACAAATTTCAGTGCAAGTCATGAAAAGACTCCATGGTTTTTTTGAGACTACTGAAAACTGATTTTCATTTCATGTTAGTGTCTGTTTTGTCTTAGTGCTAACTTTGCCTTGATGAATGAAAAATGGAGATGGAAATTTCCACGCTACCTCCATTGCAGCAGAAAGGTCAAAACTATTCATTACTGAAAGTCAGCTTACTTTATGCTCTTGCTAAACTATGGTTTTGGTTATTATTTCAGTTGAAATTATTTCAGAAATTGTATTGCAGTTAGATAATTTTGATGCTGTTCGGTTGCAGGCTGGATTTTAAATGTCTGAAGTTTACAGTCCCTGTGTCTGCTTTTAAAAACTTGTAATAGTTGTTACCTATGATGTGTAACCAGTTCTTATTTGAGAAAGCTGGCACTGCTTCACATTTCTTTAAGTTCTGGCTCCTGTTCCCTGTTGCAGGGCTACTGCTGTCAGTGTTTTGATTTGGGAAAGAAACTGGTCTAAAGGGAGTGTTGAGCAGGCAGGAGC